AGGATAATATTAATAATTTTGAGACATAAAACAAAAGGTTTCACTCAAGCTTGTCAAAAATTTCCCTAAAAGTAAGATGTTCTTGCTAAAGAAACCAGTAATATTGCAATGTCATTACTGAGAGACAAGGAATTTTGCCAGAAATTCTAGAGTCCACAGGATTCTTAATACATAAAAATAAGAGAAAGAGCTCAAACAAAGGGTGATGATTGTTAATCATTTTAGGAATCACAAAGTTTTCAGGTTTCTTTGATGGTTTCTTTGATGGTTACTAATGAAGTAGTGAAATTCTTTAGCAGCATTTCCTGCCCATTTATTTGAGCTCATGGCCACTTGGGTCTCCTCCACCACTCTTCTGTGTTCTGTTCTCAGTTCCACTTGTCTTGGTGTGAAAATCAGCAGATGGCCTGGAGTATGTGCAGTATCATTTCAATGCCATAACTGATAGGCTGGAGTATATACTATTGACGTCTTATACATATTTCTATCACCAAACTTCCTTATTATTACTATGATTATTTTAGAATTTTCTATTTCATGTATTTGTTAGTAAAGTACAAACTCCACGAGGACAGGGGTTTAATTCTGTACTGCCTATTGTACTCTTTACCCAATGGAATTCTGCCTGGTACACAGTAGGAACTCCACTAATATTCATTAAATGAACCAAAGAGTGTATCATTCATTTCCAATACAGTGCTCACTCCTTAGAATGCTTAAGCATTTAATTAATTTCTTAAACATGAAAAAATGCAACAATTTAGTTGTTTTTGTAGCTGAACTTCCCTAGACCAGAAGCATAAAAAAGGGAGTATTAGAATTTAACAATGTTCCATGTGTCATGCTATTTTTCTCAATTGTGTAACATTTTTTCTTGCAGAAAAAATTAAAATATATTTAAATATAGCTAAGTAAACATGTCTTTAAATAAATAATACTTCCTACTGTAATTTGAAATGACATACTGACAGTATTGGAGTTTATATTTACATGTATTTCATAAATAAAAAAATTGCATCATTTGCATAATCATGGGCTAAGTTAAATAAAAAGAAAATATTAAATTATAAAATACTTAAAGAAACATTACATTGTTGCTTTCAAGCTCATAAGCATGCATTTTCAACACCACAAAACTCAGGAGATTTCCTTGAGTGAATTATTTTAATTAATAGATTAGAATACTTTGCCTTCTACCAATCTAATTCTAATGAGTTAATAGTTCTAGTAACACATTTGAGGATAGTTCAAAGCTTCCATTTTCTCAATATGTTTCCAGAGTAGGGTGACAATCTTATTAACGTTGTCAATTTGTTCAGGAAATTTTTTACTGAAAATTATGGCATGAATTTTAGCAGGAAGCTTTAGAGTCAGATTCAGGGTTCAAATTTGATTCTTTCTTCAGCAGCAGAGTGATTTTGAATAAATTACTTAGTCACTTTAAATACAATATTTTCAACTTTCAAATGGGGAAATGACTTTTTATATATGAATAATGTGAAGATTAAAAAGATAAAAATAAGATAAAACGCTCAGCATAATGAAAAGCACTCAAAAAGGAAGCGAGCAATCACTGTTACTGTTGTTATATCAGTAGAAGTAGTGTATTGGCAAATTTTCAGTCTGAACTGTCACAAATCTTGAATGAGCAGAGAATTAATAAGACAGTGAAAACTTCACAATATTTTGACAAACTGACACAAATGCAGAAGGTGTTATGAATCTCAGTGCTTGCCATCATTCTAATATATTAAGGTATAGAAAACTGAGTAAATCCTAAGGTCTGCTAAATGCTACTGCCGTATATTTTGACTCTCAAATGTGTATGCTGCTTGCCAACTGGTAACACCTGTGTTCTTTGCCGCTCAATGTAAAGTACACCTTGAAAAATATGTGACCTATTGATTTGATACAGAAGTGAATATTAAACCAAACTGTCAAGGTTCAGCTGATGGATTCTGTCAATTAACAAGTCTCAGCTGAGCTGTTTCCTGATGGATCTGCAGCAGGTACAGAATTCTCCTACCATGCATTTTGCTCCTGTGGGTCTGCCAACCTGGTGAAATATCCTCACACTCGTCAGTCAGTCTGTCTGAACAGACTGCAATTAAATATTCCACAGCCACCTCCTTTGACTCGATTTCTTCCTGGGAGTCCTTGCAGCAAGTGTACTACCCAAGACAGTAGCCATGGGTCTCATGTGGATATTTTAAGTTTAGATATAAATAAAATGGAAAATTCACTTCCTTTATCATATTAGCCACCTGCTAGCTGCTCAATAACCACATGTGACTAGGGGCTACTACATTAGACAGTGAAGGCAGAAAATATTGCCTTCATTGCAGAAATCTGTAGAGAGCAGTGCTGATAAGGACCAATTTCTCCTCAAGCTTATTTCCATTTATGCTGCACTGAGTACACAAGATGTTATAGTCATTCAGTAAAAGCACACGTCCAATTAAGCAGATAAATCCTGAGTTAAATACACAGGCATGTACTGTGTATATGCTAGATTTTGGAGAACATCAAATAAATTAATGCAAACTATGATGTTCTAAGAGTAGAGTATAAGGATGCAACTTTTCAAAATTGTGTTAAAATTTTTTAAAGAAATGTCAGAAAAAAGGAAGAAAGAAAAGAAGGTAGGAAGGCAGCAAGAAAGGGAAATATCTGAAGAAAGAAAGAACTCTGAGGAACTGTAAACTTAAGAAACACAAAGAAGCACCATCATTTTTCAAAATGAAGTATGGGTATTGCTGGGCTCAGAGAGGCATAGCAGAATCAATTTGTAATTTCTCAACACTCCCATGTAATCTGCCAGATAACATGCCTAAAAACAAGATTTTATGCTACTTTCCTCTTTAACTTTCCCTTTGATAATCTTTTTTCTCCCACTTCACAAAACAGTGGTATTCTCAGTCCACCAAAACTTAGCATGGGGAACTGCCCCAAAGAAACATCTAAGATTATAAAAGAACAATTTGAAATAGCTGTTAATTACAAGGTTCTTGCAATAAACACACATAATCACATAGAAGGACCTGAATAAAAGTATACTTTTAGTTTTTAATAAAAATATTTTTAAAATACATAAATATTTATGGTTTTGATTAATGGTGCCTTAGTATTAATGACAATAATTCAATTTAGAGAAAAAATGTACACACAGACTTTTGATAGCAGAAAATTAAAAAAATTCCAATTGTAATATTCATCTTTTGGTACCAAAGAGTGATACATTTTTTTAAAGTACTATATACAGAAATTCAACAAAAAAAATTGAAGTTTTGGGGGTAGAACAATATAATATATTAAGGAGGATCTTGCTTTTGTTTCTTTTAAAATTAGATGTGGTATTAAGATTCCACCAAATACATTTAAAAGATCAGCAGAAGAAATGTATTTTAAAATGTTAATATTTACAATGTGCTAGAGCCCGGGATTTAGTTCAGTGGCACCGTGCTTGCCTTGCAAGTGCAAGGTCCTGAGTTCAATCCCCAGTAAAGGAAAAAAAAAGTTACCACCAAGGCACTCTGTTTGGACTTACTACCTGCCACTTGGACTTAAAATGTGCTGCAAATTGCAATGCTTTTGCAAATATATAAAGTTATGAAAATAAGCATTAGAAATGTCAATTTTAAAACAGTTGGGAATATATAGTTTTTGAAAATTCTTTCTTTTTCAACAAATCATGGAGTGTCTACCATCACATTTTTTGGTTGGTATTTTGAAATGCTATAATTCAATTAAATCTTAAGCTACACTGTGTTCTTAGTGTGCGTATTCCCTGTATGTATCAATTCATTTAATTTTAATAAGACCCTTTGAAGTTGATAGTACTAGATAGACACGAGGAGTTTGAGACACAGACTGGAGCAGTAATTAAGTCAGGTTACCTGACTTCTAGGGAATGAAGCTAGGATTTAACCCCATCTAGCATGGAGTCCAGAGAGCATAATCAATCCACTGTTTAGTGTCACCTACTTTAACGTGTCCTTTCCACACAAATGTTCAGTTGTTGAAAGTTTATTTATTTTTTGGTCAGGTTAGCAAGTCTTGGAAGGGAAGACCACAGCTCATTTCTCTCTGTGGTCTACAACACCTAGCATTTAGTTTTACACATAAAACATGCTTATTCAACATGTTATGATCACACATTTAGAAATTTCAAGAAATTTTCTCCTCCACAGAATTCTCACTGGCTTTCTTAAAGCATGTTTGATTTAAGAATATTGGTACCCTCTATCCCATTTTATGTAAGAAACCTACATTCATTTATTTGACTACCCCAAATGGAAAGATACACAAAGTAAGTTGAATTGTGTTATATCAAGGTGGTATGATTAATGGTTAATTTTATTTATTCTTGCAGAAATAAAATGTTTCTTGTTTACATTTTTCAATTTAGGTTTCAGATTTTTTTCCTGTTCAGAGTTTTTTGCATGTATTACTCTTGTAATAAAGAGAGGAAAACAGTATCGTTGTAAAGGTACTATTTAGAAGTCACAAATACGTCAAAGGGAAAAGGAAGAGGAACAACAGTTGAGGAAGAGGAGCATCAGCACAGCAAGTTTGCAGCACATGAGGTGAGTCAGAGGTTTGGCTGGGACACACAGGAGGGTCCATTTCTCCTTACCTGGTATCAGGGAGCCACAGGGCCCTGGCAGCCCTAAGAGCAGGCCACATTCAGATAAGGCAAAACCAAAACATTTTACTAATTAGAGGATGTGAAAGGAATTTCTAGAATTGTATTCTCTGCATTTGTACTTACATTTTCAAAAAAATGTAAATGACCTTAGTCATTTCCAACAGATCTGATTTTTGAAAAGCTCAACTTTTTACTTGAGCATCTCAGGTAACTTCTGTCTTCATCAGGTCAGGCGGAAAAGTAACCATTTGGGGCTTCTCAATGATATCTTTGAAGTCTACCATCCAATAGTTGTCTTTTTCTTTTGTCATTAGCTATTTTTAAAAAAGAAGTACAAATGATCATATCATACCTTGACATATAAACTTTTTAGAGGGAGTTGTGAGTAACAGTTTATCTGCCATTTCTCCAGGACCAGCACAGCGAGCAATTCCTGGTTCCTTATATTCCGACTTCACCCAGTCGGAGAGCCACTGCATGTTACAATCACAGTGAAGAGGGTTGGCTCCAATTGCTCTGGAAAAACACCACAAAAGCACACACACATACACACACAAATATGAAAGGATTGTTATTTCCTAAGAGAAGAGAATTCAAAGAGATGCTCAATAGAAAATCCCCATGGATTTACTGATGATAAAAACTAAGACTAAAATGGGGACAGTGGAAATTCCCCGATTTATGTACAGCTGGATGTAGTGAGTTGTCACTGATTTTAACACTTACCTGGTTTTTCCAATTGTCCTCATACTTACAGAGGAAGTTTATGTTGGATTTAAGCATTCCCTGGGGCAGACTAACAGTTTCGCCATGTATCAATTATTTATTGAGAATGCAATTACTGAGCAAGGTTCTGAGGACTCAAATACGAATAAAACATCGTTTTTGTTAGCTCCAAAGACTTTCCTCTTGCTGAAGAGATTAGAATATAGTCATACACAAATCACTTTCATGAGAAGTAAGTACTAATGGATATATTTACAAGGTGCTTTGAATGAGCAGACTAACTTTCTGGGGAGCGGGCTGGTGGTTAAGAAAGTCTAAGCTTTCTTAGATAATTAGAATTAGGTATTTAAAGGGATAGCTACAGTTAAAATGAAAAGGTTGAGATGGAACTTGCAAGTGAGTAGTAAATACAAAGGTACAGAGCTAAAAGAATGGCATGAATGAATAAAGATATATAAAACTAGTTTACTAGAGCTGATATGGACCTTTACCAGTCTGTTGCTTCCTTTCAAAACTTTGGTTCAGAAGCAACAGTAGTCATAGAAAAGTCATCAAGATAACAGCTAATATTTATTACATGATTTTTATCTGCAAAAGCTAAGCTATGCCATTGACAAGGGTTGTCTCATTTTGTTTGAAATAGCAACTCCATGAAGTCAATATTATGAACAATCTACTTTAAGATTAGAGTCTGAGTCGAGAGAATTATAGTTTAATAAATTTGCAAAGCTTGGGCACAAGTAGTAGATGTATATAGTAGTATTTAAAAACTTATTTATTTCTGATTATTAATCAATATCTGATCAATAATAACTCTATGTCTGTAATCTAGAAGCACATATAATATTATTCTTTTTGAGGTAACTCTGAAATATACTTAAAATCGTAATAGTTTACATTTAGCAATTTAGTGCCCAATTTTATCCAAGAATTCAAGTGTAAAAAATGTGCTCATATGCATGTGAAATTCAAACACTTCTAAATTAAAAATGAGCAAAATGATGTTTTTGAGCCTTTGGATCTCATCTCTACTGACATTTGCTAAGTCTTTACTATGACAGGGGAGAACAGGGCAAAAGGGAATACAGCAGGGCCCTTTAGGAGCTAAGGCATAAAAGACAAATGCATAAATAAAGTACAAAGTAGAACAGACCACACAACAAAGCAAGTTCCAACTGCACTCTGCTGCAGAAGGAAGGGTGGTCACACACGGAGAAGTTCTACTCGGCTCAAGCAGCATTCTTCCTGTGTAGTCTCTCCTGATCCATGACCCTAACTCCAGTAGACTCTCCACTCCTTCCTTTATAGTGCATTCTCTACCAGACAGTGCAGTAGCACTGCACCCTGAGAGAAGGGCTTTGTTCAGTGTATTTGATACGAATGGCGGCCATGTTGGCTTTGATGTTGACTTGGAGTTAGATGCTGGGGCTCAAAGACAAGAAAGTGCGGGTCTTGCTTTGGGGACTTAGTAGCCTAGTGGAAGGAGTATGAACGCAAGGCCCCTAATAGTCTGATAGGTGGATGTAAAAGAACCCACACTGATAACAGAGCTCCCATAAGGCAGATTCAATTGTAACATGACTGACTACTGGATTCTATTCCACAAACCACCTCCCCTTCTCAATTTTCTAAATTTCTTATCTTATTGGTGTTCGTGTGATTTAGAAGGGAGTGCAAAGCTATGAAGTAACTCAGCAGGCAACCTCTTCCATGGGAACTGAGTCCCAAATGACACTGATATTTAGGCAGAAACAGATAACTGTCCAATGCCAAACTGTCACCCATGGAGGCTTTGGATCGTAGGGTTGATCTGTAAATTTCCTTCAAGGTTTGCCATGATCTTATTATGATACTTAGTAACAATGAGATAATTCAATTCCATACAAATGAACTTTTGGGGCCATGATTATCATGTATATTTTAATTGATTAGTGGTACCATGGGCTGCTATGAAAGAAAACACAAGCAAGCCAAGTATGGTGGTGCATGCCTGTAAATCCCAGGATTATGGGAGGTTGAGGCAGGGGGACTGGAAGTTGGGGCCCAGCTTGGGCATCTTACTGAGATCCTATCTCTAAATAAAGACTAAAACATAAAAGGGCTGGGGATGTAGCTCACTGTGATGGCCCTACGTTCAATTCCCAGTATAGGAAATGGAAAAAGAAAACAGAAACACAACCTATCTCCCGCTACAAGACTACAAAGTTTGACTATGTAAAATTTATTTTTCCACGGATCATAGTCGATTATAAGTAATTTTTGCTAAAGAAATGAATCTACTCTATGGAACATGGTAGGCTTCTTAGTGGAGAGGATATTGGGATGTGACTCAGAAAAGCTGGGTTGGGCCAGATGAAATTCAAGGGGAGCCAATATTCTAGAAGCAGAGAACAATGAGAAAAAGGCTGGTGAGTTCAGGGATCCATGCTTATATAAGATTCTCTTAGACAAGGAAAGAGAGTTCAAATAATGGACAGTAAAAGCCAAAAGGGTAAATTAAAGCTGTCTTGTAGAAAGCATCATATTTAGGTTAAAGTCTTCACATTTTTTACAGAAAGATAAAATCAGCCACAGTTTATGATGGTACAATAAAAGGTGTGGCAGAAGACTGCTTCGAATCCTCTGAGTTGGGAGAACCTGACCCTCCACACCTCCATACTCATGTGCTAGGTACTCACAGGTGTGATAAGGCAGAGAGGTCACTGAAAGCACCTTCTGGCACAACAGAGATGTCATTTCCATGCAAGGAGCTGAAAGAAGAAAACACAAAATTAAATTTCTTGTATTTCAAAGAACTCAGAGGAATTCCCATGCATTCATTAGATTTTAGTTAACAATAAGCATTTTAAATGAGTGCAAAAAAGGGTGTATTCAGTAAATAGCATTGATAGAGCTGAATATATATTTAGAAAAGAAAACAGCGAGTTCCCATGCTCCCACCTCACATCATCTGTCCAAAATAATTCCAGACTGAGAGTTAAATATAAAAATAAAAGTAACAATTTATTAAAAGAAAATGTACTCCTTTGTATAATCCTGGGATTAGGGTTAAACTTTCAAAAGCATGATGTAAGACCCAGAAGTCAAGAAAAGAGTGGTGAATTTTTGAAATAAAAATGTATTCATGGGCTGGGGATTTAGCTCAATGGTTCTGCCGCCTGCCTCGCAAGTGCTAGGTCCTGAGTTCAATCCCCGGTATCAAAAAACAAAACAAAACAAAACAAAAATGTATTCATATGGCAGAAATTCCATTCACAGAACAGAATGGGAAATATTTGCAGTGGTATAAATTACAAGGATTATTTTTTCTATAAAAAGGCCTGAAAGATGTGGTTACATAGTAAATGTACAAAGACATCTACATTAATAATGAAAAGACAAATTACCTAATAGAAAATGGGAAAACAGTATGTTGGGGCTTTGTTTAGAATAAGAAGCACAAATGCTCAATAAACAAAATATATTTAAATGCTCTAGTAATCAAAAATGGAAATTAAAGCAGGAATGGAAAATAATTTTAAATCTATTACATGGAGAAAAATAAAAGGACCAATAATATTCAGTGTTTTCAAGAGTATTTTTAAAAAAGTACTAAACATATGATGGTAAAATGTGTACATTGGGAAAATATTGTTTGGGAGGTAAATGCACACTTCATTTTGGTATCTTCTCAACACACTTGACCGCACCTTCCTACTCTGTCATTGCGATATGCCAGTATATTTGCACAAAGGTAAATGCATAGAAAGTTTCCTCATACACTGTATAGAATAATAAAAATCTGTAACAAAGCCACATTATGTAACAATGAGGATGACTATCTAAGTCATGGTTCTTCTGACCTATGGGATACTGGTACCTGTTAAACAGCTGTGTAATATTTCTTTAAGACAGAATGGAAACATTCTAAGCAGATGTTAAAAATAAAAATAGCTTATGGCAGAGTAAGAAAAGCTCTTCCTTATGAACGTTATGTAAATACTTCTAGTATAAAAACAAATCCATATAAAAAAGAGAGAAGCAAATCAAATTGTTTTAATTTTAATTATAGCGTGTGGGAGTGAGATTGATCATATTCTATTTAATACAGAGTACATTTAACAGTAAAACTGTATTCATATACTGTGCTTTCTATGGAAATTGCTTTCCTGTATTTAAAAATTAATTAGAGCTATATAAAACATATTTTAAGGTAACATAATATCAAATGACTACAGTAGCAACAAATATTACAAAAGGGAAAATTACATTGTCTCCTACAAAGCTGCTGAACAATGATATAGTCAGATACAATTTTCCTATTTCTAAATTTATGTGGATCCTAATGCATATAATTGAAAATAGCCAAAAATCAACAAAGCAGTAAAATCATTAAAAAGATGTCTCAATGCTCTGATCCCTGAGAAGAGGGGTAATTTTTCAACATGGAATGCTTACAGTAATCGAAGAGACTTCAATCCATCAAAGGTTCGAGGTGGAATACATCTCAGACGGTTGTAACTAAGAATTCTGAAAGCACATACGATTATTCTATGCAGGAATCCAATACTGTCTTAATGTCATTTTTAAAATAAAGCAGTTAAGAAATGGGTCATCTGAGCACCTTCTAAATTGAGGATATTTACATAATGTACATTATTCATCTTAGTTTTGTCTCCCTAACACAACATATTTATTTCCTAAATAAAACTTAATTAAGAGTATTTCCCAATTCCTACCTTTACTCCAATCATTCCCTTTCTATTTCCCCAAAGTCTATCTTACGGATCTCCCGGAATCCTTTAGGATCTCCTCAACCCAAACGAAATAATAAGCTACTGTTGCCTTTATAGAATCCAACACTCTCTAGCATCTCCCTCTGTTTGTGTAATGAGGCTTTGTCTGTTTTTCTCAGTGGAATTTCCACTCCCTGAGGGTAGGGACTGTCTTCTTCACCAGGAACTGAGTGTGCATACTAAGTGTGTTTCTGCCCAGTGAATTAATATATAGCTACTGCCTCTTTCACACTTACAAGGTGAGAAGCTGAGTCATGTTGCTGAAGCTCTGATTCGAGAGGGTGCTTATCCGGTTGTTACTTAAGTCTCTAAAAAAGAAGAAGAAAGACATGGTATCTACTATTAACCAAAATAAAAATACTAGTGATTCTTAGACAAGGCTCTTTTTGTTCATAGTTGGAGAAGTATTGTTAGAATTTAGCTATCAACCAGAAAAAAAAACCAAACTGCATCAGTCTCCAGAGTCGATTGCAATGTTATTCATACTTATTCACACTGTCCCGCTGAAATTGGGAGCAACCAGTTGTCTTGTCAATAACGCGTGGGCACAATGGATATTCTCATTTCAGAGCAGAAGCTTCATATGGTAATATGGAAAAGTATGGGAAGTTTCCTTCATATGGAAAGGTTCACCATATTACACTGTTCCTCCACCCACAAGACTTGAGCTGTTCCACAGAAAGCTTTCTTGGAGGAGACCCGTGATGAGTACATTGTGCAGATGAGAAAGAAGCTGTTGTTCTTGAAAATCCCATCAGATCCACAAACTTTATTCTCAGTGATGCCTATGCTCACTAAGACACACACTCAAATCTGAGAACTGAAGGTACCCCTGATTTAATTATGTTTCATGTTATCATTAAAAATACCTGTACTTCTGCCCTCATAATTGTTTTCTTAATGAATAATTAAGAGACATTGAATTTTTATCAGTGCAAAAGTATTTGTAAATACTGCCACAATTTATATTCCATGAACTTGTTATTATTCATCATATAGTGCATCTATATTCTCTCTCACACACATATATATTCACTAATATATTTCTTCACTATTTTTATGAAGCAAAATCCAAACTATCAATAAATGGAGGATTCAGAAAAGATTAAAGATATTCATTATGGGTTAAAATATCAAAATACTGGTAAAGTGGACACAGAATTGTGAGAATTGTACGAAACTTACAGGAACTTTATAATCCAAATTTTTATTTTCTCAAGTACTGTATCTAAACTTAAAAAAAATGCATTTATTTTAGCAGAAGTCATTTGTTTAATGAGTCACTGTTAAAACCAATTATGGGTCCATAAGTCTCATTTCTTATTTCTCACTGGTTTGAAATAATCAAACTGACCCAGAAAGACTCAAACCTGTTAAAGGGATCTTCTGAAAATTAGAGCAAGTTAATGAATTAACAGAAAAAACTATACAAGATCAGTTGTTGCCATCAAGTAAGTAACTAGAGGCGGAAGAAGGCATATTAGAAGTTCTTTTTTCTTAATTTAATCATTTGTCATTTATGTAGTTTGATCATTACTACAGACTGGTTGCTCATACTGGTACCTAGGAAAAGTTTACATTGGGGCGGGTAATATTTTCTGCTTTTCTAGGTTTTAAAACTCACTAATTAGAAATAAACTTTCTTATTCTAAGAACACAACAAATCTTCCTCCAAAACTAGCCATATTTACTATGAAATGAAAGAGATAAACTAAGGATATAGTATTTTTCTATTGACATCTACTACGTTCGCTGATTTTCATATGTTCTGCAGTTTCATCAATTACCAAGTCTGTTCTTGGTATAATGTGACATTATATGTAACAAGATTAATACCATCATAAAATATTATGGACATCGCTAGATTGAAGTGTTTGTACATTTAAATACCTTCTTGTATTTATAACTTGCAGATGGACAGAGACTGCTTACATTAAAGATAAAAGACATTATTTTAGGAGGACTTCAAACTAAACTTTAAAAATTAAATATTTTGAAATTTCTGTCATAATGTCAGCATCTGTTTAGTTTATTTAAACATAGTATAATAATATGGATTTTTGGAAATACATTTTAATACTTGTAGCCATAAATTACTTTATAATGCTTTACACTAGAAACAGTATATGAAACTTAATATATTTTTAGTAAAGTTCTGCTGTAAACCATCATTTGCATAAAATCAAGAATAGTATCATTTTCTATCTTTCTCTCCTTAGCTTAACATAAAGTAGTTTATTTTCTTAGTAGATGTATCAAGCTTTACATTTTCCATAATTTTTGACTAGGTAGATTTCCTCTTATTTGTCTTTTGCTGAATAAAGGGGATCTTTTCTCAGACATTCCACTGACTGATTGATATTCAATGAAGATGTGGTTAGTGATCCAGAGCCACAGTGATCAAGGAGGGAAGCATCTCACTGGAAATGATTTATATCATCTGAAGGGCTTGCTAAATCTTCTGCCCCTTGCATCCCATTTTTATGAAACAGAATAAGTTAAAGGTAGAAAAATACATTACTCACATAAGTGTTAAATGCTTGTAGTTAGATAGTTCTTTGGGAACCAGTGTAAAGTGGTTTCCATCCAAATACCTAAAAATAAAGAAACAATATTATGCTTCTATGAAATAAGAACAGAGAATCCTATACAAATGAACAATATTTTACTTTTACTAAAATAAGGAACCATTTGGCATTTTTTTCTTTAAGATATCGTCCTCCAAGCTGGAATCTTTATGCAAGAGAAATAATGAGAAAGAAGTATAGTGCTCCAATCCAGTAGAATGATTTGTGGATCATTATGCTAAAAAACCAAGGACAGACTGGTGAGTCCAGTTTCTTGTGGTTTATCTAGTATAACAAGGCAACATCCAGCCATTTGTATGTCAGCCAGGTTTATTTAGTGAGCTATATTTTTAATTGGCTTCCAGTTTACTTTCGTTTATGTGGAAAAACTACATGAAATTCTTCACTGCCCGAATATGTACCAATACATTTAATAGATATTTTAGCAAGATATTTTGTAATTTTCATATAATTAGAAGTAAAAATACTTTAAAAACAGTTTTACCCACCATATATCATCTCGGTGCTAACAATTTTAAGAGGTTTCATAGAATAACATGACACCAACTTTACAAATGTAGCATCTATGTACTTGAATCACATTCAAGTAAACTTTTTATTTAAGTAGTCAGAATAATAATCTGAAATAGGTTTTTAACTGGCAAGTTGCTGGAAGTTATATCCATGACGTCACAAAAAGAAAATAAAATTTCATCTCCTCTTAAGGCTTTCCCAGAATATAGGTTGCAAAGGGTACAAGTGTCTTCTAGTAATGTGGGCCACTATAAATGTGCCTGCAAACAATTCTGGCACATCAGACGCATGGCCTCTCCTAGCTCAGTGTACTGGTGAATCTTGAGATTTTGTATTGAAACTGGTATTTTTGCTGGCTATAGAAGTAGGTAAGAAGTTGCCTAAGCTAACAATCCATCTTTAATGTTTCAAAACGAATACAATATATACAGGGAAAGGCCTACATCCTCAAAATATGGACTCAATAGCGTGATTATGAGTTGGGATATAATACAACTCCTGATGCCATCTCAAATTTTCTGACTTCATCTTTTGACTCCTTTTCTTCTTCTGAGTCTCCTTTTCTTTCTTCTAGCTAAGATTTCCATTACACCACTAGAGGGAAGCACCATCCCATGTTCATCAGCACGCTTGTTTTATTCCAGAAAATGTTACAGCAGGACAAAAAAGATTGAAAAAGTGTACTGTGAATACTTTTATGTAAAACAATCTAAAGGGAAAGCTATGTGGAACTGATTAAAATTAATGGGTACTATTTACTCAAACTTGTCCACTGATACGTATTTTGCCAAATTCTTTATTAATTTAATATAATACACATACTAAAATTTTCTAATATAGTCTTATATGTTACTGGTGACAAGAATCATGCTGACTTGGGAAAGTTCTAAGAATTAGCTTTGTGGGTGGGAGGTTAAACTTGAATTCCAAAAGATGAGTTAATACTCTTCTCATCTCTATAACAATCTTTCTTCAGAGAAAAAAAATATCACTCAATAATTGTACTAAAACAGGCTGAAGATTCAACTGACACAGAAACAAAGATGGCATAGAGTGATTCAAGTAGTTTCTTCAATGGAGTTTAATACTGAAATTAAAGAATCTTTAATATGATTTGATGAGGAATGCACAACAGGAGCAAGACAGGCCAGTTAAAGCAGTAGAAAGAGATGTTGAACATCTACAATAATCTGGATTTTATGCTCCTCACTGGGCCATTTCTAAAATCAAAACTTTGAATACAGAAGAGTGTGAGTTAAGAGGTCATGTGATCTTCTGAAATAAAAACATACTAAAATAGAAATTCAGTAATTACACAGACACATAAAGCAGTGCTTAGAGTTAATTAAATACTGTGATTGGTAATGGGAGAAACTGAACACTTGACGGAAGTTCAAATTTAAGAGGGTTGCTTTATGCACGTCTAAGATTATGCCTTCTTCCTCTAAGTGTTTATTCAGAAGCAAAGTAGGATCTGTGAACTCCTTGTGATTGGAAAAATAAATTCCTTGAAAACTGAAGTGTTATCTTCTTCATCAGAAGTTGTACGCTGCCAAAATTATATCAAAGGTGCTCATTTGGAATACTTGCATGGCTCTGAATGAATTACAAGTACACATCTGCATGAATTACATGTAGATTTAAATCATTGTTGATCCATGGTTCCACATAAGTAAAAACAAAAAGTAAACAAAGGCAAAATGACAAAACTGGATGCTTATCAAGCATTTGCATGTCAAATTTTAGTATATGGATAAAGGAATGAGATGAGAGGGATATGTATGCATCATTATTCTAACAGTTTATTCTCTGATGAATTCATTCTACATATGTACCATGTCTACAGCCAGGGAATGTGGGCTGACGATCAGAAGTCTAAAGGACTAGGTATGTGCATCTTGGCCATGTAATTTGTATTTAAATATAAGATAAAAAATGTCAGAGATAATTGGCCTCTTACCTTCTAAGATCTAAAGGACTCTGATTCAAGGTAAAAACAAAACAAAACAAAACAAAACAGTATCTCTTTTTAAGGGAAAAAATAATGCCACTTTCTTCACATCCCAGACAATTACTTATCAAACGAGGTTAAGATATTTTCCCAGGGGTCATAAAGGTAAAGAAGATTTAACCATATGGTATGTCCCAGACACCATAAATAAACTATAAAGAATCTCCCAAAGTTAATTCATTGGAACACTGGCTCACAAAAGGAGGGGTATGGGGGCAAGTACATGTGGGAGCTATCTAATATTTTACTATCTTTGGATGCAGTTTCATGGGGACCTCAGTATAATGAAAGCACTAGGAATTGCTACCTTGAAAAAAGGAAAACACCTAACCTGTAATTGCCAAAGGTCTCTGAACTGCCTTTTAAAATTACCAGTTTATGATTTTATACAATAATTATTAAGTATTCATAGAATGTAATTTATGAACAGGATTCTAAATAGTTTCATTTGACCTCTATTCCCCTTGATGTGTAAAGCAATAATTGTCATGGAAAGGGAAAGATAAGCTGTACTTACAGCTCTGTGACATCTCTTGGAATACCCTTGGGCAAGACCTTTAAGCCTTTGTTGCTACATCGGACTACTGTATCCAAGCAAGTACATTCCGTAGGGCACCGAGAGAGTGGGGAGCAACTATTGTCATCATTTCCTAAATTGTCAGAAGAAATACCGAAAAACTCAGATTTGTGCTTTTTTTGTGGGGATAAAAAGTTTTTATATCATTAAATAATCACAAGAATCTTGAGGCATCTGATGATCACTTATATCACTTATGCATAAAGTAATAAATATATATACATTGACACTATAATAGCACTATTTTCAACATGCCTAAGGCAGAATTTCATAAAAGATCAACCGTTTGTCTTACCAATATAATTATACTATTTATTTGGTCATTATGATTTTCAGTTATTATATATAAATACCAACTAAATTATGGAAAGTTACAAGGAGACAGACATGAAGATACATAAACAGATTAACCTAAAATGTTAAGTGAAAATTACATGCATCCCTCATTTTAAAATACACAGCTCACATTAGCTCTCTGTTCACTGGCAGTAATTACAGAACCTGCTCTACCTACCTTGTAGGGCTATTATGAGAATCAAATGCAATAATAGAGAAAGAGAACATAAAAATGTGAAAAATATTACTTCTGTCAGATTTACTAGACCTACTACTTTATAAATCAATTGCCTTTTTCATTTAAAAAGAGTAGTTCCTAAAAGAGATGCTGAGGATAGTAAAGAAATGTTAAAATGAAGCTATATAAATAGTATCCACCACAAAGTGGAAATTAGAAAATCCTGTAAAACACTGAAAAACACAAATCAAGTAGATTGGCAATGTACAAGGGCAGACTGCAAAAACAGGTGCCCTGTTATTAAAACAAAGCAAACAACAAAGCAAAGCAAAAGTCACACAGCTATTCATGATGTGCTGAACCGAGCTATGACCTGCTACCTACTTGCACAGAGAAGCATCAGAATTGTCAAGTGAACGCCAGATGGCGAAAGATGAAAGATGGGCGTGCTTTTCTTACCGTCATCACAAGTGAAGTCCTGAATGGCCACATCCTGGATGGGGATTTCTTTGAGGAAGTATGGTTTCTGGCACCGAGGATTTCCTGTCACAATCCTTTTCTTCCTCAGCCACTCTCCCAGCCATGCCAGGTAGCAGTTACAGTTAAAAGGATTGGCCAAGAGGTTTCTAAACGCCACAGGCAAGCAATGAACTGTTTAATTCCAGGTTTCATTCTCTTACTGCTTAAAAACCCCTGCTACCATTTTTCCACACTATTTGTGCTGGAATAATTCACGTTTAATCTTATTCCCATCCTCCCATTCACACTCATTCATATGAAAAGTATGCTATGCATACTTTTGCTAAAATATTTATGTCTGTGAATTAAGAGCAACGATACTTTCATATCAGATAATTCTCCAAATAATTTCACACAAAAAAATAAAGTGAAGGCAGCAATTTGGAGTTTATGCTGCAGACCATGATAGATATCTCATTTAGAAATAATTTAAACTTGTCAGAAATCTGACTTACTGTCAAACTTCTCTATGCTGATAATGCAGTAATTTAATATAACGATGAAGGCCGATTACCTTATATTACTGAGTTTCACCTGACAACAGCTATTTCATTAATTTGTCATCTCAAGATTCCTATCTCTTATTTGCTCCAGAGAATAGGTTTCCTTTCTAAACTGACAGCTGAGTTGATTAAATGCCAGTTATAAAAATGAATTTACTTCTACAAATCTCAATACTTTTGGCATTTCACCACTTCAGCACAAACCTATTGACAATCCCATTATTTATAAACATGCCACCTTTAATATGCACAAATTAGTCACTCTATGTAAAATGTCACATTTTATGTGGAAAAAGGATTAAGTGCTTTCCTGATGGATGGTTGCTTCCCTCGAATTATTTCTTCAGTGACTTGAGCTATGCTAAATATGCTTTTATTCTTTCCGTCTTTATTCCCCTCGTGTTGGTTTAGACTGGTATATTTGAATGCCACCCTGGCCAAGAAATCATCAGTTATAACATTCATAATTCCAAGTGCTGCTTTTCAGACACTGACATACAAAAACTCTGAAGTACATTGTCTAGAAAAGTGTGTATTTTCTGAGTTCTATCTTTAGACCAACAAATATTCTTTATTTTCAAGCCATCTACATAAAACATTCTCTTTGATAGGCTTAACCTATTGCTTCAGTGTTTTCCTAATTGCACTAAATGCCCTCTTCTGAGCACCTTTTATTGTTGGCCTGGTAATCATCTTAATCTATCTCTTGTCATTGTGACTGAACTTTTGAGCATAGTTCTGAACAATTACACTATCAATCATTTTTATGATATTTACATTGAAACACTTCAATGTGAGAACACTGGAAAAAATATAACATTTCATTTATTCTCAGCACTTTTGAGTTATAATAAATAATTTTAAAATTTAGAAATTAAGACATTCACTCAGTTCATTACCATAAAAATGAATTGACTGAAAAAAATGGTATAATTTCATTTAAAATTTACTGTAAGATGGTAGGTAGTATTTTTAGGAAAGTTAAATTTAACATGAATAAATCTATCATTTAAAAATACCTGAATCCTCAATCACATTTTTATGAAATATCTAATGATGTATTAAAATACTATTAGTAAAAATAAGAAGTATAATGCACTGGCTTAACTCATACATAAAGACTACTTTTGCATACTTACAGAGTAGATAAAGAATGCAGAGTATCAAAGGCCCCTGGTGCAATCGTAGTGATCTGATTATCATATAAAGAAAGCAAACGCACAGAACTGAGTCCTATGAAACTGTCATTTCCTACACAGCTTATTCGATTACTTCTCAACATCCTGGAGAAGAAAAAGAAGACATTGTTATCAAAATGAGGCATCAGGCAATCAATATTGTCTATTTGGAAATCAAAATAATCCTTTTCAAGTACGGCAGCCTTCATTCCTGTTTTTGAATGTTTTCTTGCCATTAGAAATTGCTATTTACTGAGAACATCTTGCGAGAATGAAATGCTCAGAGTCATCAATGATTAAACTCAGTTGCAGAAGGCACTGGTGAGCCTGCATGGATTTACAATCCCATGATGCGGGGAGAATGTTTTTATTCTGATGCTATAATTGTGTTTGCACGGTTGCATAATGGCCTAATTCACCTACAGCGCTCTGAGTCCTTGGAGTCCTGTGATTTGTGTATTCAGGGTAGTATGACATTTGAGGTTGAACAGAAAGGAGACAGAAAATAATCAATAGCTGCTGCAGATGAGGAGCTGAGGGCATCTCAGGGACTCAGAGACCGACAGTGGCAAACAGGATTCTGGGGAACTAAACATGACTGAGTACCCATAAAACTTCCACAAATCATTTTACATATGAAAATTTATTGTTTCTAAGTTCAGAACCCAAAAAGAGGCAAGAGCTATACATTCCAATTGTATACATGAAGTTTAAATAGATTTACCTTGAAACTTTTTTTAACATATTGCTACTAATTAGATTAACACTTTTCATCTCCTCATCGTTAGCAAGAACTGGCTCAGTTCACAATTTTTATTGAATGGTTTATATATGAGGCTTCGAAAAGAAACAAAAACACCTCTAGACTCCCACATAAAATGTAGTTTCCTTAAACCTTATTCATAAATCTAGAGAAATTAATGCATTAATTTTTATAAACAAGAAGTAATGACCTAAAAGTCTCTAGAATATAAGCCAGGAAGTATACTATAAGAGAAAGAGGCAAAAGTCAATGAACGAAGTGTTGCTTTAAAATTCTAGATCACCATGTATAAGCAAGACTTAAACTTTCGTATTCTGGCAAGTCAAAGGTAAGAAAAGATGATGAGGGTTTCCTTAGCAAGGCATCATTTTGTGTTACAAAACAGGTGCAACAGTAAAGTATTATTATCATACATAATAGATAGCACTTGGTCCTACTCTTCTTATGGTAATGGTGCCCTGGGAGAAGTTGCAGAACTTCATTCTCTGTTGATGGAAAAATCCATAGGCTCACATGTGCATTGTGTTTTGTCCACAATGTCTGGGGATTCTAAGACTGGCTGAAATACGTACATGGGGCACACAGTGGCCTCTATTTCTACAGGGTTAGGAAGTCTAGGGAAATTTGGACGCGCTGTCAAAATCTTTAAATCTGGGAGTTGAAAAGATCATGGGAAAGAAGAGACAGTTCTAGAAAAACCTTCTTTAGAACTTGGAATACCTCAAGTTTGGCTCTAGACTGCTCTATTTTGTTAGTCATGGCAAAGCTGAATTAAGGAGAGAGTCAGAGTATAGCTGTTCTAGGCATGAAAACACAAGCAGTACAAACACATCAATAGAAATAAAATGAAAGGAGAAAGCTAAATTTTGACAAGCACTCTCAGGGCAAGCTGTGTAAACGTAACTAATCAGAAGAATTATTTTGGCAAGTTCTTTAGGATGGTGTTGTGCACCCCATTTTCTTTCTCCCAAATGCATACCTTAAAGCTTTTACTCCCCACTGTGGCTGTATTTGGAGAGGACATTAGGAAAGTAATGAATGTTAACTGTGATCACAGGAATGGGGCCCATTCTGAGAATTCCACCTACCTCCTAAGAGGAAGAGACACTGGAGAGCTCGTGTGCACTCTCATTATTTCTACATGAGCACAGAGACCAAGAGCCATGTGAGGACATGGGAGGGAGATGGGACCCTCAGACCGAGAATGCGGCTTCACCACAACCTCACCCACTGGCACCTTGATCTTGAACTCCCAGCCTCCAAAAGAATGAGGAATAAATTGCGGTGTTTAAGCCATCCAGTCTGTGGTTCTGGTGATGGCAGCTGGAGTAGACTAATACAGATGTGTTGTACCCTACTCCCCCGTTCTTCTCCACAGCATTGCTCTACCGGGGAAAAAGTTTCAGTAATAACAAATAGTCTATCAACTGCTATGGAAGAAAGGAGGCTTCTGTTTATTGCAGGATTTTTGATTTGCTGAGTTAACTGGGACAGCTTAGGGGAAGAATAAACATAGCCACTTATGGTCTACCTTCTGTGCCCTCCTCCCCTCCAAAGTATGTCTTACAATAACAGAATGGAAAAATATTTGCATATCACTTTGGAGGGGCTATCAACTAGCCATGGGAGGGATCTGCATAGTTCTAGTTCTGCCAGGTGGTTAGGATTTAGGCCAATGATGACAGACCTATGGCAAGCAGGCTATCTGTATGACTAAAAGCTCCAAAACCTGCACCATCGCTGCTCTAGGCCAACCCTGAGAAGCTCAGCGAGCAGACCGCTGCTCTTACACATTCCAGTCTTTTTGACTGGGTTCAAACTTGTGACATTGTTGACACATCTCACTGTCAGGGGCAATGCTGTTCTCCCTGATCCTCCTGTAAAGCAGGCAACAGACTTCCTGATGCCCAGGCTACCAGCCACCCGGTTGTACCCGGCTCTCTGGGTCTAGGGGAGAGAGTGCCCTGCAATCACCAAGAGCTGCTTCTTGGTTACATAAGAGTTTTCTTCATGACCAAAGAGTTTGGCTTGTCTCTCTTCCGATCTTTAGGATACTGCTTTGTCAGAGGCACTTGTGTAATATAAAGATATGGAAAATGTATACACACTGTGGAGAACCCAAGTAATCGAAAACTGTTGTGCTTACTTGTTCAATCCAGTCCCCATCGTCCTTGGCCAATGGCCTTTTGAAAACACAAAGAACCTCCCTACCCTGAACAAGTAGGCAGGATTCAGCATGTTTTCTTCTCCAAAACGGTAGTAAAAGATGGACCACTAGCCACTCATTGGTGCTTTTCAGGAAGAGCTTGTGGATAGAGACAGACAAATGCGGTCCCTGGAGAAGCTGTAGGGATACTATGTTTCGAAGGTTAGTATTGATTTTGAAAATTCGAGTCCTTGGTCCAAAACTGAGTATAAAGTGAAAGTTATTGGAGAAAAGAGAAGAGAATGATCATGTGAGGTAGAACAGGGAAGCCAGGACAGGACAAGTGTGGCAGCAGGGGGGATGTGTTTTCTTGAGGACAGAGTAGCCAGGAAGGGCTTTCCTTGCAACTTACAGAGAACAGGAGTATGGGAATAGGGGGCTTTGCCTTCACAAAAGACACGCGCACACACATCCGGGTGTGTGTGTGTGTGTGTGTGTGTGTCTCTAAGAGAGTGTGGAGAAGGAAAGGAAAAGAGAGAGATGGAAAGAGAAAGGGATGCAGTGGGCAGAGCAGCAGGGGTCACACCCTCCCAGGGTTATAATGAACAATGTCTTTCCATGTGTTGGTTTCCAATGCCCATCAGAAGACTCACAGAGTTTTGAGGCTTTCCAATCCCTTGAACATCGTATGCCGAACGTTTTCCAAACGGTTACTGGTGAGAAGCATTTCATTCACTCCGGATGCTCCCTCAAATGCTCCCTCCTCAATATCCGTAATCTTATTGTTGCTAAAATTGCTAAATAAAAATAGTTGAAACAAAGATTATAAACAATTCCTCTCTCTAAAAGAGGCCACCACTAAAACAAGAGCCTTGATCATTTTCCTCTACTGAACAAAGTCTTCCACAATCTCCCAGTTTATTGCTGCGCAGCACAGCAGGAGCTTTGAGGAGACACCCATTCCCTGTTGCAAGAAACTAAGGGGACAGTAAATCAAGAGGGGATATTTGTGGCAAGAAATACCAGCCTGAGTCTTGCCAAGATGATCTGCAAGGGTTCCAGGGGACATAACATACTTGAGACCATGTAAAGGGTTGCGTAAAACTTCATGTCCTCTGTAAGATTTAATAAGGAATTTTAAAAAGAAATGTCCCCTATTAAAACTGTTGAATTAATTAATGAATAAAAGAGGTAATTGAATAGAGAGAATAGTCTCAAACGTGTTAGTGTTTACATAGCATCTGAGATGTGTTCAAATAGAGATTTGTTCCCAGTTAAACTTCTCAAGTAATATTGTGTTGAGACAAGCACTTTAACTCTGTTTTATATAAAATCAAATACTACAATGCTTGCCCAATACTACAATGCTTGCCCAAAGGGCAGGAATGTCCAGTATAGGCTCTTTCTGTTTCTTTTTCACTCTTCATTCCAGGAGCATAAGTGGCCTGTAAAGAAGATAAATTTTAAGTGTCTTTTATGCCTCTGAAAGCACCATTCCAAGTGCCTGTTCAATAAATATTTGCTGCATTACAAGTCATCTTAAAGCTAAAAAGAAAGTATATTTAGTAAACAGTGAAAAGGGAGGGCAATCAGAAATCAGAAAACATTTGGGGGTAACATATGATAGCGATGAAGTATACAGGAAGATGCAGTCCATTCTGTCACTGAGAGTCTGGGCAACCACAGGCCAGTTTCGTGTGAACACACAGAAGTCGTGGGAGAAAACGTCTCTTCTCCAACACTTCCTTTTGTGTGGAGGGGCTTCCTTGTCCTTACATGCTTGTCCTGTCTCGTCCCCCCTTCAGTCCTCCTCGCGGGTATAGAATACTAAGTGTGCTGAAATTGCTGAGCTTAAGAACTTATTTTAAAATATGAGTTGTGGACACGTATTAACACAGAAGAGCTATTGGGCCAGTTTACCAATCATTAATTTTGACTATCTTCTAATGAAAGTTTAATGAAGCAAAAAGTCAAAAAGTCAAATGTGTTGCAAGAGAAATAACAGCATGGTTTGGGGAATAGTAAAGGAAGTTACAAAACACTGCGGAACCCATTTTAATGTGCTTAGATTGCTGGGATCCTGCTGTGGTCATATCACAGACCAGCTGTCTGCATTCGAGTAAGATGCTAAGGCTTTGGTTTGCACTTTCTGAACACATGGAAACGTTCCTTTCGGAGATAATGCTGTATTCATATCACGGGTAGTCAGGGAATGGACTTTTCCCTGGATTATTTATATTTTCTAATTTCCAAAAGAAACTTAGATAAAACTTTAAAAGTACAGGGACAAACACAATAGAACACTAGAGAAATTTAAAAGATCACTGACAGGTGACTTACATCTTTCGTAATTGAGGAAGTTTCTTAAAGATTCCTGTGGCTTCCAACACTGTAAATTCATTATTATTGAGACGCCTGGGGAGAAAAGAAGGAACAGGAAGTTCCATTACCAAGAGTTACCAAGGACTGCATTTTATTTGACATACTGAATTGTAACACTGTTTAATGATAACTCTAAAACAAAATATAGTACAAATATCATAGAGGATTTAATGGAGAGTACTGATATTTTTCTGCATTTCCCTCAAATTTTAATTATCAAATAAAACATATTAAGAAGCACATGGTAAGGAAAATCAATAAGCAAAACCAGCTCCTATTCAGTAATCTCTCACATAAAGTTTCTCAAACTTTTTCTCACTATTTCTCATCCAAGAAACTTTTTTTGGACCAGGGCTTGAATTCAGGACCTCACACTTGCCAGGCAGGTGCTGTTCTGCTGAGCTACATCCTTGGCCCCAAGAAGTGTTTTTATACATTTTTTCCAAATTACTTGCTTAATAATGTTTTTATTTGGAGCTTTATTAAAATATAAATCATATACTATAAAGTTCATCCTTTTACAGTGTACAACTTAGAGGATTTTAGTGTATTCGTTAATTCGTGGAACCAGCTCTACTATCTAATTCCAGAATATTTTCATCACTCTCAAAAAGAAACTTCATAGTCATCACAAGTTACTTCCCTTGACACCCCCTACCCGTCACCCCAACCTAGCCCCGCCAACATACTCTGGCTTTGGCAACTAACTTAGTCATTGTTTTCCTACCCTGGGCACTTCATATAAATGGAGTCATATAAAATACGGCTTTGTGTTTCCACCTTTTTTCACTTTGTATGATGTTTTAATGTTTGTTAATGTTGTACAATGTATCAGTGCTTTATTATTTTTATGAATGAATAATTGTATGGACACACCACATTTATTTAGCTTTTTATTAGTTGTTGAACATTTTTATCTTTTTAACTATTATGAAAAATTCTGCTATGGACATTGACATACAGGTTTTTGTCTGGATGCATCTTTTCAGTTCTTCTGAATGTATACTTATGAGGAAATTGTTGGATCATATGGCAAATCTATGTTTAACTCTTAGAAGTATAGACAAACTGTTTCCCAAAAAGGCTATACCATTTTACATTCAATGTATGAGTATCCCAATTTCTCCTACTTATTATTGATTCTTTTTATTTTATAGGTATTTCACTATGTGTGTCTTGGTATCTCATTGTAGTTTTAATTTGCATTTTTCTAATGACTGTGTCAAAGGAAATTTTCATGTGTTTAGTGACCATTTGTATATCTCCTTGAAGAGCTGTGTATAACATACAGATAATTTGACTTCAAATAGGTAATTTATCGTTTACTGTGAAACTGTAAGAGTTTCTCACATATTTTGGATATAAATCTCTAATTAGATGCATAATTTGTAAATAGTTTCTTCTGAGCATTAATTTTATATTCATAATTAACAAAATATTAATTTTAAAAGATACAAAACATTTTGGAATCTAGATGAGTGATTAGTTTCAAATGTAATTTTTGACTGACAAACAAGCATATTTAAGGCATTATCATGCTGAGAGATGTCACTTGTTCTTTGTAATATTATTGGAAATAAATATAAATCCCCACATTATTGTTAAAAAACAGAGTTCAGGTCTTCTGCTGTGTGATCTCCGTGTAAAAGTCCTTCTAAAAGTCCTGCATTTATTAAATAGCTTCATGTGCAAAGAGGTACAAAAAAATCACTATAACCACAAAGGAGTTAGTTTCTATCCACTCTCTGAAAGTCAGAACTTTATTTTTAATTAATCAACTTCCTCAAAATTCTTTAAGTAGCAGACATGTGTATAGGCACGGTGGGAGGTTAAACCATAACACACATTCCCTGCGATCAAGGAGCTATAATCTAGTTGAAGACAGAAGGATTATACACACATAGAGAGACAAGCAACTCCGCAAAGCAATAAATGACAATTTTCAGATGGTGCCATACATATGATGTACAGAACATGAGATTTCACTAGATTTTCCTTGAATTTTTAGACTACTACCACATGAATCCTGCCTTCATAAATAAAGTTAATAAAGGCAAACCATATATGAGCACAGAATCCACAAAGAACCCACAAATAATTTTAGCACTCATACATGCGAGGTCCTATGTCAGACTTGTAAGTCTGAATCATCATATTCTGCCTTTGGCTTTCCCTGTTATGCTAACCATTGTTGAGGAAAAAAAAAACTATCTGTAGCATTTTTATACCTGATAATCCCTGAATTCTTCTACCTGTGAGTCAAGGAAAGAATAAAAAAGATAAACAAGACTCCATGACTAGATTTATAATTAACTGGGATTCAAAATGGTGAGTCTCAAACTACTTTATTTGGTTGTTGTAAGTAAGGATTAAATACTTTAAAAATCTATTAAGTGCTTAGAAATGGATTTTGGAAAAACCCCCGCAATACATATGAATAAAATAATCACTATTATTATTAGCATTCTTAAGTGCCAAGTGAATTCTGAGTGTTAAATTGCATCTTCAGCTAGAACAATGGACTAAGATATCCTCTAATATAGTCTTACACAAAACAGAACTACATAAATGCACACTGTGCATTAGTTATAATTAACATGATTATTGAGAATAACAAAGGCAAGACAAAATTTCCTATGCATTGATGCTTTTATTCCCTCCGTTCCAATGAGAATTTTGAGGCAGGATGAACTTACAGCTCTGCAGTGTACTGGGGAATATGATCAGGGATTTTGTTGAGTTTTTGATTGGAGCAATCTACTGTGGTCCCTTCACAGCGGCATTTTTCAGGGCAAGCCAAATCTGCGAAGCAGTCTCCACTTAATTTTGATCGATAATCTTCTGCACCTATTGAGAATTCAAGCCAAAGAAAAAGGTACTGAGTCTAAAGATTAGCATGTTCACTAATTTGTCAGAAGGAAAAAGTAAGATAACTATAGATTATGCAGCAGGGAGACAACTTAGGGAATTTTTGTCAATGGATGTCAAGAGAGGGTTAAAAGAAAGGCTTGGAATTTCTGGAAAAAAGAGTGACCAGATTCACACAACAGGAAAACATGAATAAAGTTGAGCTTTTCACAGCTGTACTTTCTGCTGATCCAGTTCTGAGCCATTCTACCCTATTTCACAGCTAATCACACAATGGCTATTAATTCTTAAAGTTTATTTTTTTTCTGGGTCAAGAATTGAAAATGTATCCATAATCAACATATTCCTGTATATCATTATAAATTAGGGCTTTCAAGGCAAATAGATATACTCAAGTTTTTAAATTTTCTGTGGACTTTTATTATTCTCTCCCTCTCACATAATCTTCAGAAATGCCTAAAAAGCCCTCTTTTTTTCATTTTGATTTTATAAAGAGAGACAAGTTAATCCTGCCTTGAGCCTCAGCAGCTTGTCATGCTGTAGAAAGCTGCGTGACGTTCCATGGTGCTTGACGGAACCATGTTTTACTCATACCTCGCAACCACATGGTTAGATCAAGCACAACAGAAAATCTCGCTACATTATCACTACACCAACCACTAGGCCAAAGGGGAGGCCAAGAGGAAAGATGAAGGGAAGTAGGAGAAAAACTACAGACGTTCCGGAAATGTAACACTGTTTACATGACATGCACTCTTCCCGCAGAATGTTTAGGACCATAGTAAGTGTATTACTACCGAAGATTTCCTGGAAACACAAAAAGGGGCTCTACTGAAAGGTGCTTCCACCATTCCTCAGAACCGCAGAATGGAAACCACAGCTTTCGGAAGGACATCCAGGAAGAAGTTGAAGGTGAGCTACAAGGACAACAGAGAAGCTCAAAAGATCTGTGGTTTCTTCTTGAAAAATAGGTGCAAAGGATCAAGACTAGAAGAAGGTACATCGGGATTGAAAAGGGAGGACATTATGTTTCAGATCAGACACTTTTACTTACAGCCCAAATGGTGAATTCCTGCAAAAGTAAAGATCACCAAGAAGGAAAGAAAGAAAGAGTAATCCCAATTAAGATTAACAGACATATACACACATATCAAACTATGCTCCCTTTCTCGTTTCTTTATCATAGCAATTATAGGGGAACAGCATGGCATGAAGGGATTTGTCATGCTTTGTAAAATTCACAATAATTTTTCAAGCATGATAGCTTTAAAGGAAAAGAAATGGCATAAAAGAGGCACAGTACAAATTAAGTTCTTGTCGATTTCTTTAAAAACTGAACTCTCTGCAAGGCAGATTTTCTTTTGAATTATGACTGTAATATTTAGAATGTCACATAGAATGGTACTACACAAGTACACTTATAAAAGTGAATAAAAAAACAATCATGCAGATCCTCAAGGACTATCATTAGATCATTTGATTAATCCTTAAATTGTAGCTTACAATGCTTTTTAATGACCTTTCCAATTTATAAATAATGCCACTTAGTGAGAATGGGATCAAACTCTTATTTGAAGTTTGCAACGCCAAATATAACCATTAGATTATATTTGGCAATTAACGCCATAGTAATTATTGAGGATCTGTTTTACTGTGTCTTCAGATTTAGCCTGAAGTGAAATAAGGGTTCAGTGACAATGAAGTCTAAGTGACAGGTTCACTGAATATATTCAAATAATCTGCAGTCAATACTATGAAAACAATGTTGATTTATGATAGTTCATTAGATAGATCTAAATTTTAATTAAAATTTTGGAAATAAATAGGGTAAAGGAGGCCCTAAGCATCCTGCAGTGTCCTGCCTATTATTATTAATTTAAATAATGTAAATTGAATTATTAGGAATTGGAAGTTAATAATTTGTATCAGATATAAAGTGTATTTGTCAATATCTATTTTGGCTCCTATCTGCCAGTTAGAGGGGAAAGCTCTATTAGAATAATTATTAAAAGCCTGAGTTTTGCTCTATACTTGGTGAATTAAAAATATTGGTTTCTAAATTTTTGGTAAAGTGTATTTAAATACAATAGTTCGAATAATTTTGTCACTATTATATTAACTGTTACAATTTTAGGATTTAAATTATATTGATGTATTATTCTATGGGTGGTCTAGTGTTTATAATATAGCTTTTTTCAGTTAAGCAACAACTGTCAACTGACTTTCCACTTAATAATTGGTTCAGAACAATCAATTTTAAATGTTGCCAATTAAGGCACATCAGCTGTTCTTTTCAACATGTTGCTTGTTTTACTGGCAAATAAAATATATAAAATATTATTTAATCATTTGCACTCCTCAGAATGAGTAATATGACTAAATCCATTAAATGGTTAAAAGTATTTAGACTATATCTCAATAATGGCAAGCAACAAATATCTCCTTAATAGAGAGACCAGACTCAAAGTTCTTTGTAAGAAAATAAGTATAATTTTATACACTGAACGTTGTAGAAATAACTTATTTATAGTTCGTAAAATATAGTATAGTCTCGATTATACCCAGGAAATGGTGAATGCAGCCAATCGATAATTAACACTTATTTTTTATATAATGGCTTAAAACAATCAAAAGGCATTTTACACAATTTGCAGGCAAGGAAAAAAAATAAGTGAAGGAACATATTTTAAAGAGCTAGCTCTAGAATCATCAGTCATGAGAATGCTAAGATTGAAGTAATACAATATTGCAATCATTATATTTAGAAACATTTTACCCATCTGCCTAAATAATTCAAGGCATTTAGGGCTTATGCACTTTCTAATGCTTTCATCGTGGACATCAATAATCTTTTTTGTGGAGTTATACTCCAAGCGTGGATATGCAACATTGTAAAGTTATAAACAAATAAGGTTCAAGTGCATACAAACCAGCATGAAGCTGTTTTTGTATAAAACTAAGCAAAAGAAAAACATACACTTTTTAAATATAAAAAGCTTCAGAATTCTACTGCTGAAAATGATTTTGTGTGTTCACACTGATTTCATGTAGAATTAGCTCTTTGACAATAGAAAGGCCTCTGTCTTTAAAACTAGCTCAGTAAGCTAAATTTTAAAAACAGGCTGAAAGATCAGATATACAATGTAAGGAGGAAAAAAATGATTTCAGTAGAAAGCCATAGCTTCAAACATTTTAGCTACTGTGAGAAACTGTAGATAATGTGCCAAAGTGAAAGGGAGAGAAAAGAAGGTGGGAGTTTAATAATAAATATGTTCAACATCAGAAGCCGCATGCAAAGGTCGGGTTTTCAGGAAACAGCTACAAGTGATCTATGCATAAGTCAATCTATCTACAGAGTACCCACTGTACTTTCAAAAGCATGCACATCAGTTTTGGAATCTATTTCAGAAGGTGAGGAAAGGGTGTTTGCGGTTAGTCCTACCACCGAGCAAAACCTACCTGGAATGAAATACTGTTCTTTAGCTAAATAAAAAAAGAGAAAAAAATAGAAGATGCACCTGAATGTCAGCAAGCAGAGATATGAGCTATATTAGATTAAGAATGGACTAAAGTTACTACAGATAACTAAGTGAAAAATGTATATTCACAGCAGTGGCTGAAGTATAGTAATGTTCAATGAGTAATAAATGCATCCATAATAGTGGACAATAATCAGCTTGGATTGGATATTAGCTTTTTAGTACGAATTAACTACTGAATGTGAAATAGGCTTGGAATACTTAGGTCGAATATTACCAGAAACACAAAGAACACAGCCTATCATCAGAATACAGAAAAATTATAACAAAAGAAGTATATTTTAATAAAGTAAGCTTTTTATTTTATAATGATACATTGCACTTATATGTGGCTGTTTTAGACAAATGTAACATTACCAAAATGTGAAAAGATGGCCTTTTGAAAAAAAAATGGATCCTCTCTTTAACATAAAAGAATGCAAAATAACAAAGCACATTCAGTGACAGAGTAACCGACAGAAGGACTTCTCTCACACATCTCTCGCACATCAGAGCCTGAACAAACCATGTAACCACGTTTTTACTCATTTTCTGAAGAAATGAAAACATGGTTGACTATTTGAATCATCTGAAGTTGGCTAATGGAGAATAATATAACGAACATGGGTCTTAGCATATTTTAAAAGCATTTTGAGTTGGTTACAAGGCCCTCTGTTTAAACCTCATCAAAATAGTATAAAGTATCCAGGCATCTTTTTCACTTAGCCAATATCCTATTTCTTCTGCTGAATATAGTGTTACAAAATGTTACACACAGAAGTACTGCATGAGTTGTGTCTAAAAGTCTCAATTTTTTAAAAAAGTCTCATTTTTATTTTATTTTTTTCCTGAATAGGCCAAAGAGAAAGAAATATGATTGCACAATGCTTGGGAGTCAGCCACAGGGTTTGGGTAGGTCTCCCATAACCACTGTTTTTTGTCACAAAGGAAATGTCTCAGGAAAGAAAACATTACCTGAACAACGGAACTTCTTGCTTTTGATCTGTCCAATTCTTTTGTTTGCCAGGCGACGGGGGCTGGTACAGCGGGCACCGCTGGTCTCAATTGGGTTGGTATGGAGATAATCCGCCAGCCACTTGAGATGACAGTCACAGATAAAGGGGTTCTGGGCCAGATGCCTTTCAGAAACAGAATAATTTTACACATGACTTGCACTGGGTTCCACTCTTGCATTCAGGAAAAACATTGCTAATCAAGTTTGATCCAAATTGTATATACATACATCGTTTGAATGGCACGGAGAGGTGAGAAGGTTCCCTTGGCAATAGTCTGAAGCTTGTTGTCATACAAGGAGAGAAGGTTCAAGTTGTGGAGATCCTGAAAAGCATCTACCCGAAGGCAGTTTATCTTGTTGGCATTCAATAATCTGTTTGATCAAATAGTTGCAAAATTAAAGTGTAGCATCTCATTAACTCACCTGCAAGATTCTGTCCTTCTTGAGAAAACCCAATAAAAATGCATTTCGTTTAACCTCAACACTAACATTTGAACTTTAGTAATAGTTTAGGATGTACAGGTTGTAGATTTGCAGCTTATAGGAGAAAGCAAAAGTCACATAGTCAAGTGAAACTAAACTAAACCTGGTGGTACTTAGACATGAATTGAACAAAATATTAGACATACCCTCAGAATGGCGTAGAGGTAGAACACCAGATGGGACTCAGCCTCTGTTGTCAAAGGCACCATAAAAAGTCTTACTAGTCCCTCATGTTGCTCTTTGATATAGTTCAGTCTGTTTTTAACATAGCAGCTAGAATGATCCATCCTACATCAAATCACATCACTCCTCTCTTAGCCACATAAAAAGCTCCCCATTGGCTGAGTGTAGAAGCCTAAGTCATCACCAAACCCTGTAACATCCACTAGGAATCTAAAGGCCACTCCTGGGAGTTCTGCGGCATCTCCGTTCTCTCCCCCTGGCTGCTCTGCCCCATCTGCATTGATCGAATTGCTGCTTTTGCAATGCACTAGACTCTCTCTTCCTCTACCTGGCACGATCAGGTCAGCCCCAGTTCTGGCTGGTGAGTCCACTGCTTCCTGCCAGTCTGACTCAATCATCCTTCTTGCCAGCCTAGCCTGAGCACTCTCTGTCATATACGTAGTTTGTCTTTTCCCCCTTCCAGCCTCCAGAATTAAGAATTCCCTTCATTTAATCCAATTTTTTTCTATTTTTAAATGCATATTTCTTTTGGTTATATATAATTTACTTATTTATTATGTCATTACTGTCACTTATATATCCCCTCCTCCTAGGATGTCATGGACCTTTGTCTATTTTGTTCCCTGATATTTTCCAGATATGGTAATACATAATATATACTAGGTGCTCAATCAATATTTTCTGTTGCATGAACACTTGATGAATCTTCGGCATAGTGACATAAATTGTTGCATTAAAAGTTCTAGTCCTGCATTATAGATTACATTTAAAGCAGTACTCTACACATTAGTTTTTGCTAATATATCAATATTCTGTGGAACTGTGGGCTTTTGTAGGGATGGAACATGAGCAAGGTGGAATTGTAAGTAAGGTCGATCTACATACAGACTCCCATGTTCCATTAACATATCTGGTACATTAACCACAGTTCAGTGTGTGTGGAGCAAAAGAAGGTGGTCTTTTCAGTGCTAAGGGTAAACAGGGCAGTGATAGTCAGAGCACCTGGGCACAACTGTGTGGAGCATTCTAGGTAACCATGGAAGAACAGCAGAGGGGCCCCTGATAGGCATATGTGGATAGGGAATCACACTACATCAATTATGTATAACGAAATCTGTCATATGAGCAGAATCTATCAAATCAGAAGCAATATTTGATAACTTCATTGCAAAAAGCTCAAAAAAATTAAAACCCAAATAGGTTATTAGTTCACAAAATCAGTATTTGTCATCATTCACTGATCTATTATATATTTAATGGATGATGTAGTATTAAGACAGTAGAAAATGAGGAAGGTGAATGGAGTGAAGAGTATTACATTCAGTAAAATTCAATACTGTCTTGTTAGCATTTGGCTTTATTTGTGTATGCATGTATATTATGCATGTATATGTGTAAACTGTGCTATAGCATATAATTCTGCACAAAATAGTTGAAGATATGGATAATAGGACATAATTATGTACATAAATTTGTCAAGTAAAGAACAAGATTCTACACTTGCAAATACTGTGCAACTGGGAATAAATGTTTATCAAATAAATACCAACAAATAAATACTTCCCCAAGAGAAAGCAACATTCTAAAATTAAGAAATTTAAGGAAGACTGACTGTGAGTTAGGAGAGAGAGAAAATCACATCATATCTATATTTGTGTCCAAAGCGTCCAGGCCAGGGTCTACCCCAGGTAAAGTTACTCTGTATATGATGTTTCGAACAGAATTTGCTGACCCTAGAATTTTATGTCTTAATTTTCTTTTTCCAAATATAATTTTCATATGGTCAGGCATTCACACACATAGGGTCAAATTTGGCTTTTATAAATAGTGCGTATAGTGAATTCTTTCAAGACCAGTGAGTAGTAACTACTGTTTAAGCAGAGTGGTCTTTAAGGATAGGACACAACCAAAGAATTCATTGATAGTTTGGTAAAGATTAGTTTGAAGACTCTGGTATAAATGGCCTACTGCACACCATGAATTTGTTTGGAGACATCAGTCCAACACTTTTGCTCCTGTAAATTCTTTGGATAAAGTTTGACACATATATTGATTAACACATATCTTTCCTGTCCAACCACTGGTTACATAAAAATAGATACATTTTTCCAAACAAGATTATGTAAGCTTTCAGTGACAGAACAACCAGAATTCAAGTATTTCTGACACTATAAAGCAAAGGCTGTGGGGAAATTCCAAAGAGTTGTGTCTTCAATAAATATTCATCATCAAGTTAGCACCACTAGACTAATCTTTTCCATTTCATTAAGCTATATCATTCTGGATCCACTTTTTCTGGTGCTGCCACGGAAGTTGGAGATGGTAAACTAACAAAATATAATATAAAGCTCAACAGATTCAAAACATTCAAGTACTTACAATAGCTGTAAGGAAAACAGTCCTTCAAATAAATTTTTTGGTAGTTCTGTGATTTTATTTCCATAGAGGACACTGAAAAAAAGTTTTAAATGAAAAAAATCAGACACCAAACATGCATAACAAACTCATTTAATATCTATGTATTCAAGCATATGGGAGGGTAGCAGGCATTCAATCCATCATAAAAGTTACAGCTGAATGAAAAGCTTTATTTGAAATTGTTTTTACTTGATTACAGATCATATGTATGTTTATAAAATTTGGAAAACAAAAAAATGAAGAATGATTAACAAAATCTAATTCATGGTTTAATTGCCCTTTCGTATATTTATCATTAAATTGTATTTTGTGTACATGCACACACAAATGTACAAATAATCTGTATTTAATGAGGTCACAGGATGTCTAATAAATAACAATAGAAGTAGAATTTTGCTCATTAAAGGAGTAATCTTTGGGCTCCTAATATTGGTAAATTGTATTTTGTGCACATGCACACACAAATGTACACACAATCCGTTATTTAATGAGGTCACAGGATGTCTAATAAATAACAATAGAAGTAGAATCTTGCTCATTAACGGGGTAATCTTTGGGCTCCTAGTGTTCATTTGAAATTGTTTTTACTTAATTACAGATCATATGTATGTTTATAAAATTTGGAAAAACAAAAAAGTGAAGAAAGGTTAACAAAATCTAATTCATGGTTTAATTGCCCTTTCGTATAAATATTTATCATTAAATTGTATTTTGTGCACGTGCACACACAAATGTACACACAATCCATATTTAATGAGGTCACGGGATATCTAATAAATAACAATAGAAGTAGAATCTTGCTCATTAAAGGGGTAATCTTTGGGCTGCTAATATTGGTAAACACTGGAAGGTACTCATTGTAAAAATAAGGCTTTTCTTTGTAAACATACAATGTATATGCTTTCATAGTAGAAGACCGGTGAAGATAGTAACAAGGAATACGAATTTAGGGAATCTTTGAAATATACAGTCCAAAAAAATATGAACCAGAATGAATTGTCATGATACCCACATTCAATCAGACACTAAGAGTTGCCAGTAAGTAAAAAGATCACTACTGAATCACCTAATTACACCTGGTGCCTAGGGTCCTAGCATAATATTGAGGTTTTAATATTGACTTGGCAAATGAAATGATTAAATTAGCAGAGAAATAAATTGAGAATTAAATTAGCACAAAACATGAAAAAGTAAATGGATGGAAATTGGTGACACAGGAGGGGAGCTATTAACATTAGTTCCATAATAATGCCTATTTAAGTTTGCTCCCCACCCCCCAAACAGAACTATCTGTAGAAAAAGACACAAATTATAAGTGGATAGAATGCTTTAGAAACATATGTAAAAGTCATACAGTATATTTACATAATCTTAACTTAGTAGTTGTACACTTAGGAGATCGATTTAAGAAACTAATCAGACAAAAAATCAGTATTTTATGTACATAATGTTAAACATGGTGTAAGTTTTTTTTTTTTTTTGGTACCAGGGATCCAACTCAGGACCTCGTGCTTGCCAGACAGGCAAGGTGCCAGTGAGCTAATTTCTCGGCCCAACATGGCGTAAGTTTTAGCAGTGAAAAATTAACACATAAAATACTACCAAATTCTAAAATAGGGATTTGTTAAATACATATTTTACCTTGTCAAAAAGTAAAGTGTGAAGGATATTTCATGACAGGAAAGTGCTTATGATATAATGTTAGGTGGAATATTTTAGAAAACAAAGTACTGTACATCACTGCATTTATTATACTTGCTTGGAAAATAAATATACATACACAGAAAAAATTAGAAAGTGCTTTGCCATGTAGAGGTGCTTCGAACTTTCATCTACACATTTTTCTGTTTTTATAATCATCTACAATTAACATATTACTTTCAAGAATCAGACAGATATTCTTTTGGAAAAGAAAAAAATAGATATCCTGATACATAAAAGAAAAAAGCTGAAATAAAAACCTAAATAATTAATACATTCGAGAGCAGTAGATGAATTCTGTTTGAAAAGGAAGAAAATCACAAAATAAAAGACAGAGTGAGGGAAATGCTGTTTCCCTTTTAAGATGTCAGTGAGAGGGAGAATACATTACAAAATATGAAGAAAACTCTCTAGGAAATAAATAAAGCTGGGTGTTACATAGTGTAAAGAGACAGTCCATTTGTTCAGATTCCAATGTTACAGCTATACAGTACCACATAAAATTTCATTTGTATGGAATATAGTTTTTTTTTTAGAAAGGTAAATTCATTAGAGAAGAAACAATTTAAAAGCATCAAAGAACAAAAGGGAGAATTCTATCTTGTCAGGGACAAGGTGAAAAGGAGACTAAGAAAGGGTAAAGAATGAGTAAATGTATGTTTTGAGGTTAAGAATAAATAAGAGAGTAGAGGGCAGTAGGACATACAGATAAACAGATTTAATATGCCACCAGTTTGGGACATTCAATGCAATGTTATTGAAGTAATTCCTTTAACAGCAGATGCTTGTACTTGTATGTGCCAGCCACTTGGCTAGGTTTCAATTGTGATGCCCAAGTAAGTCGAATCCAAATACAATTTCTGGATGTGCATCTTTTGCCCAGGCCCCAGGCATTAACATGACTGATTTACATAAGGTGTGGGTGGCTTCAAAGAGCAATTTAACAGAGTAACTGAACACTAGAGATGTTTCATATGGGAATCTGTTGAGATTTAAAAACAAAACCAGAAGCATATAAATGTGGGAAACTCAAAGAAATCAAAGGGTGACTAGTACGTTTTTCAGTTGAGACTTTTGATTCAAAGATTGGCTGAAATAGCTAGAAAGGAGGAGTGGATAAGAGGAGTGTCATATTTCTGTTTTAAAATAAGTTTTTGCAAAAACAAATCATTCTGTTTTCTTAAAGATTATGTTCAGAATAATAAATATTTATTTCTAATGAGCCACGATGTATAAATGGTGAAAAATTGAGGAACTTATCCAGGGAGGCAAAAAATATAATTTATCAGTTTATCTGGTATAGGGATTATCAACCATAGAATATTATAATAAAGAAATACTAAATGTGATAGGATTGAGATTTCCTTACAGAAAAAGTATAGCAACACTAGGTCAGGGTATTTTTTTAAAACATCAATGACATCAGAATGGTAGCAAGAAAAATGAGTCAAATATACCAAAAATCTAAAGAGTAGGACAGAGAAGATGGACAACAGTCAAAGAAATGGAGTCAAAATATATAAAAATGAGATAAAGATGTATCATCGCATAATGATATAACATTCATGAAAGCCAATGAGATTTTGTGCTATAATTTTAAGGAAAGAAAATTTTAAAAGAAATTGTAAAATACAAATTTGTTCAGCTGGAATGGAAACAGTCCAGCAAGGATTTAGATGATATTATCCAACTACGAATAATACAGTACATTGGGTAGCTTTTCTAGTTTTCATATACATGGCTTATATTCAGAATACTACACATAAGCTACAATTAATGCTATAGAGAATTTTTTGCAATCTTTTGGAAAAACGGGAAATCTCAAGGCTGCTGTAGTATTTGCTACTAGAAGGAAGGATAAGAATGTAATGCCAATTTAAACTCTGTGAGTGTCAACATTAGGACAGAAGGGGACAGCAACTTAAGGAGGCCAGGCGGCATTCTCCTGTTTTTTGGGAAAGCTGGCAGAAGACAGAACTCCAAAAGAAGGGAAAATTGTTCAACACAGAAACCTGTAAAGTGGTCATCATGAAAAGGTACTACTGACTGACTCTCTTATTGAAATAAATATACTATGGGAATAAATGTAAAATAATCTTACGTATATGTGAGAATTATAACATTAAGCAATTGTTAACCAAGCACAAGTAAAGGGAAAGGTGACCACAAAATGATGACACTAATTTTACTTTAAAGGAGATTCCAGGAGTAAAATGCAAGATTCTGTGCATAAAAGTTCACACTAGTAAAGGAAAAGAACGTAGGAGATGTAAATATAGCCATCTAGTCCTACACTACAGACCTCTGTAGAATCTGGCAGCTAGCTTATGAAGAGAGGAAATCAGAATTTATAAATGAGCTGCGCTAGTTTCCAAGAGGCTAAAAAGGAAAATGTGAAAAGACAAAAAACATGCTGAGGACACTGGACATAAAAAATTTCTAGGATAATTAAAATCCAGAAATCTAGAAATTGATATGTATGCGGAGAAGAATCTCCCATGGCCATTCCTATCCTCTCTTGTTGTTTACTCAGTATTTCAGCAAAGCCAGAAGAGGAGTGATGTGATCACCATTTTACAGATGGGAAAACATAGGCTCAGCGGCACTCATACCTAGCTTAACCGTGTTCCCCAGGCTCAGGGGAAGCCAGAAGACAAGTCCCCTAGCATCTGAAGGTTATCAGATCAGCACTGTCCTATACCGTTACAATACTTTTTACATTGTTAATATAAAGGGAAGTTTCCAACTTACAAAATAATAAAAGTTGATTATAGACAATGCTAAGTATGCTGAATTCTTAAACACTAAATATTATAAAAACTTTGTTATTGCCACAGCAACAGAAACAAAACACCCTGAGGATAAAATGGTCCAACATTCATACATGCTGAAAGATATTTTGTTATTGTTTTTATCGTATTACTCTATTCTACATCATGTTACTGTATAACGTATTTATATACAATATAATTGTAAAATGTAGTAAAATAAATGTTAGTTAATGGCAATGAATAAATGTTAATGCTTTTATTTAATGGGAGAGGCTTTAAACAGTATTGGAGAATAAAATCCAGTTTTCTCTGAGATACTATTTTTGGAATTAAATAACAATTTAAAATTTGTTTTTGAGGTGCTGTAGAAGTATTTGGCACCATAGCATTTTAAATATCTTCCCTTCTATAACAAATACCTTGATTACATTAATCTGGCTGTATATGGTTCCACAAAGGCATAGTACTAAAATATGAGGTGTAGGATAAACTTGTATCAGCAGAATCTTGCTTTATTTATAAAACAAGAATATTGCCTACTTGCATGACTCTTGCAATAATCTCCATTCTCCAAGTCACTCTGCTCTGTTGTAGGAAATACGAACTGCTGGATCTCTGTCACCATGTCCAACATGATTCATCTTAGCAGTCTTAGCTTGCGATGAACTTTGTCCCATCCCCCTCCAGATGGCATCCTAGACTCTGCTGTTAGCAACAACTGCAATTTGTCACTGTTGCAGTTTCAAGCATTTCCTTCTCTCCAGTCATACTGTACTTTTTTTTCTTGCTCAGTTTTGAGCATACTCCTGCCTCAGAGTCTTAGTGTTTAGCTGCTCTTCTGCCTTGCATGTTCTTCCTGCAGATATCTGTACTTTTCTATACTCTTCTACAAGGTGCTCCTGCAGTCTGAATCTTCAAATCTTTGTTCAAATCACCTTCTTGGAAGGTCGGGCACCTTTTTCAAAATTTCAGCTTCTCCCTTTACATAGCATCCCTTGTCCCGCCACTACTACCTTAATTCACGGCACTTTCCAGCATCAGACACAGTATGCATTTTGTCAATATATTTAGTCTTTTATAGGTCTCTTCCATTAGGGAAGGGTTTTTCCAAAGATATTTTTAGCTTCTCCATTCTCCAGAGGCTAGAATGGAGCCTGTCATAAAATCAGGGTTGTACATATAATTTCTGTTGTACATATAATGCAGTTTAATGAAAAAAGAGTTACTGTAAACACGTGAAGTTATGCATTTTATGGAGAGTTCAATAAATTAATCTTTGGAAGGCTAACTCAAACTGTAAATATAATAAAAAAGGATATAAATTAGAACACGAATACTTTCTTGAAGATAGCACAATTACTTGATTTTCTTCAAGTCTGCTTTGAAGCCTCACAGAATATTATATATAAGTATTGTATTACACCTCTGGAAAACGGCTGTGACTCTTCCATATACTGCTATGATCTGAACTGGTAATACCGTACTTAGCTTGACTACAATTCAGCTTCACAAGTAAAGATGATGCCTGTCTACAGCTTTCCTGTAGGTTTCCAAAGCACTGTGTGCCTGAGCTACTTTCCTCACACAGACTCCAGGCCGCAAGCACACCCTTTACTGGAGCTGTCATTTCTCTTGCTCTTTCCTGTAACACTATCGTATTTATGTTTACTATTGCATAATAATTTATAATGTAATCATTTAAAATAACATTTATTAATATGATTTATTGAGAGAAATGATACATTATTACTGGTTGTTTTGTTTATTATTTACTTTATTATTTCTTTTTTCTTTTAATTCTCACACCCCCCCCAAATGTCAATGATAATATTAAGGCAATAAAAATTAATGGTAAACTCGTCAAGGAAACAGATTTAAATAACAAGTCTTCATTGATTTTTCTCCTTCTTGACACTGTAAAGGTTGTCTCTGACAACAGACACTTTAAGGTTTAGGAACTGGTGGAATGATTTGACTTTGTTCTGATCTTCCGCAAGTCTGGAAAGTTGTCCGTGGATAGTGTACTGTCCAGGAAAGTACATATTTTACTCCTGTCAATTTGTGCGACTGAACTGAGTTTTATCTTTGTTCTTTAGCACTCCCATAGTTCTTCTGGGGAGTAATACATAACCACACAGAGCCAAAAACTGTTCCTCTGCTTCTGCGCTTGCTCTAGCCAAAAACCAGAAAAACAAATAAACATGAACCCAAACTTTTACTAGAGGTCAAATGATAGTCTTCCATTTTGTTTCTTCAAAGAAAATTGTAGTTTTATAAGAAGAGCAGCACAGCAACCCACTGCTGTCTAGTTCTTCCTTTGGTCAGAGGGGGAGGAAAGTGTTCCACCAGCTCTAAGTGTTCACCCGGGTATGCACATGTGTGCCCTAGTGTTCTCCCCCCGGAGTACCCCTGCCTTCTGAAATCCAAGACATCAACAGCCAGCCCTTTACATCAGTGCAAACTCTTCTCTAAGCACGAACTTATAACCAAAAAAGTATGCTTGCCTTCACTTTAAACGTAGATATAAAGGTTATTTTACTTGATGGAATTTGAAAAGTTTTTACAAGTTGAAGGAATGGCAACCTTTACAAATTCCTTTTAGACTGTCTTTAATTTACACAGCTATCTCCCTCAAAGTCCTTTTGACATTAACAAGCTGTCTTCCTTTGTTATCTGTTCTTTCAGAGATCAGAGCTGGTTATTTCAGGGAAATCGTAAGGAAATGAAGCAAGGGGTAGACAGCAGCTCTCAAAGGTGATCCTCACTGGTTCTCAGCAAGACTTTGCCAGGATCATCCTCAAAGACACTGACAATGACCCCAGAGACCCAAGCTACAGGTTTACAGGTCAAAACTACAAGTTCCCAGAGCCCTGAAATAAATATTTTCCCTTATTTCAGACAGAAAACAAACATCAGAAAGAAGATCATATGGTTGATTTCTAAACAGTGAAGTTATCACACCATAAAATATCTACCCCTAAAAATTGGCAAATTTTAGTGACAGGCAGTAGTTCTCCATAAAAATGATGAAACTCATGAATGATTAACAATAATTGATATTAATATAGCATGATTCATCCTAAAAGCCTAAATGAGTATTTTCCTTAAGTTTACATTTTATAAGCACAGCTCACTCTTTGCTATGGATTCTGTTTTCCTCAGTGAAACCGTGAGTACTTACAGTGAATTCAGAGAGCGGAGACCTTGGAAAGCATCAGGTGCCAGCTCAGAGATCTGATTATTGCTCAGGTCACTAAGATTAAATTAAATAGAAGGTCAGTGAGATTTGCTGAAGGAGAGGGCTACTTATGGCTTGTATAAGTTTGGTTTTTGTGCCTCTCAGGGCGTGTGTACACTTTGCAACAGAAAACATTGAAAGAATTCTAAATTTAAACGCAAATCACAGTTTTTAAATCAGCCATTGGCTCTTTGCTTATTATAAGCAATGCTAAAAATAGGACTATATTGACAATAGAATGTCTTACGAATTTGCATAATATGATGAGAGCACACATTTGCACTTATGTGAATTGACACATCAAATCATGGAGAACTTTAAAAGATACATGGGTTAGCTACAAGATTAAAATATTATTATAGAATTAGCACGCAGAGAGTCACATCACTTAATTTTGAAGCTGTCAAACTCAAATACTCAGTTTCCCTTGCATGGTCATGACCTGCATAGTTTTAAAAATTACGCATATTCTAGAATATTGTGCACTCACATTCTTCTAAGCTTTTTATATGGTGAGAAAGCTCCAGGAGGAATGACCTTGATTGAGTTCTGTTCCAAACGTCTGCAAAGAAAATAATTCAATTTTTAAACAGAAACACAAGCTCTTGGATATGTTTGACTGAACTTCAGAATTCATGAGAATAAGTAAACTTAGCATTCTTCATGGGGGGTATTTTCTTTTTCCTCAAAAGTAACTATTAAAAATTAATTATGCCTTCTCCTAAATGTGGGGCAGAACTAGAATTAAGTACAAGGCTATTATAAAAATGATAAAAATGTTCAGATATTTTAGCATCATGGGTCCATCAATATATACGACTGTACTTTATATAAAAGACAAAATGTTTCTTGAAACCATATTGGGAGTAAAGTTTAATAACAAATATAAATAAGAGAACCATACAGTGACATTAAATTTAGATGTATGTTTTAGAGACAACCTTAACCCTTTTCTCACAGAAAATTATTGTTGAATTTATAAACCCTTTTTTCCTCTACAGGAAGTATATTAAAGGCTGAAAAATTACCACACTCACAAAATTAATTTTGAAGCCACTTGTGTGGCAAAATCTTCAATACTAAATCTGTAAACTCAAGATATTTTCAGTAAGACAGTTCAGGCTCTGTTGACTCATTATGTATATCATAGCCGCAAAGTGCATTCAAACACAACTGAAATATTTCAATGATATACTAAGAATCCCAGAGTTGAAGATATCTTTCTGACAAGAATTTACACAACTAGTTAGGAAAGACATGAAGTAGATTTTCTTGTCACCTGGTACATATTTTCCTTCATCACAAAACGTTGCCTCTCAAATTCAATTATCTCTATATACGTAGTGTTCTCCATTCTCCTCGCCTTTTCTGTTCTCTGTGTTCCAGAGAGGTGACTCCAGCGAACCACCTAACCCAGCTCACTTGCCAACTGACATTTGTGAATCTGGCCAGTGAGGGACCCTGGGGAAAGACTGAGGGGTGGGAGCAAAAGAGGAGGCAGGGTCATTTCTCTGTGCCCCTCTCTCAGAGGGTGTCCTCAGCACTCACCTCATCTTTGTCTTAATCTCAGCTACTGGGAGGACCACCTCTAGCTTGTGTAACATTACCTTCTGCTGTGGTCTCTGAAACATTGGAGCTGTCAGGAATTGTTTTCTGTGTCTCATTCCTACAACTGTTTAACCCATTCTCCATATTAAATTCTTTTACCGAACTACGAGGCGGAAGCGGCATTTGCCTGCTTAAATTAAAATCTATATAATTATATAGACATAAACAAACATATATGTGTATATATGCACGAATACACGTACATATGTGTGCATATATGTGTATGTGCATTTATATGACTATAAATATACATGTGTATGAGTGGCATATATAAGTGCATTTTGTATTTATGTGTGTATATTTCCTGCTAAAACATTGTTGGCTCCTAAATGGCAGATCCAACTCAGAAGACAGGAAACAAATCATGAAAAAAATAGTGACATGGCATTTGCATTACTTATCCAGGTCTTAAAACAGAGGACTTCTTAAAGAACCTCTAAATATAGCAAAGAGTGTTTAAATCATTTCACTACTATGTCATTGATTAGTATGTTTTGAATTGATGGGTTAGAGAAAGCTTTTTTGCTTCGATCCATTCTCATATTGAAAATTTAAGATGTTTAAAATATAATCAATGAAAATACAAACAAGATAAGCTATATTTGGAATACTGTTGACCTAGAATTTCTTTGAATTTAGAATAGAATCTCATATTAATGTCTTAATGATTTGTTCACTCTTAACACAGAACTCCAATAAGGAAAAATTAACCATTCTTAGTAACTTATAGATCTCTTCTAACAGTAATGCAAAATTTCTTCATAAAACTGTTTCATAAATATCATTTTGAATCCTTGAAAAATAATATAAAAAGCCAACAATTATCATTCATTCATTAACAGTAAAATACTTAATTTCTACTTTGTGCAAATTATATTATATGGTTGGAATTTTGATATTCCCTGAAAATTTTAAAGTTTATTCATTATTTTAAAATCTTGAAGCCTATAATAGTTACAATGATCATTAAGAACTCTAGTGGCACTTAAATATATGTTGGTATGATAATTTATGCTTAATCTACAATTAATTTCATGGATAAATATCCCTATCAAAGCAAACAAAACACAAAGATAAAAATAAGGCCATAATTTTTAGAAAATGCATACTCAAAATTATAAAACAGGAATTCCTGATACAATAGTATTAGATTTTATGTAATAGTTTAAAATAGTACAATGATGCTGCATTTATTATTCATTATTGTGATGTACTTGACTTAATATTCACATTGCAAACAGCTTCACTTACAATGCATAAAACAGCTAAATGATGACATGTACCATGGATCTGCCTGCTTTTCTTCATTTATATATATATTTTCAATCCTGTTTGAAAGCATTTGAAAGAGACCTTATATTGCTATTTACACTGACTTAGCAGCTAATTGGTTTTTTTATTACGCTGTCTTAGCAGTCCATTAAGGCAACACCTAATTGCATCCTTCATTCAAAGAGCCAGATTTTCAAGCAGGAAAATATACTACTACTGAGAGACGTCCAAAAAAAAAAATCTCAAAATGTCTGTTGTCTTTTTGTTTTTTAATGAACAGTTAACATGTATTTTCTGCAAACTTTTAGAAATTTAGGATGAAGTGTTTTTCTCTTCTCTTTTTTTTTCTTTTGGTATGGGGGGGATCGAACTCAGGACCTTGTGCCTTGCAAGGCAGGCGCAGGGCCACTAAGCTAAATCCCTGGCCTGAAGTGTTTTTCTTTCTCACTACAAAAACTTTAGAATGCACTGGGTAGATTACAAACAACACTCATCTGAAATGTTGTCTTTTTACTAAAACAAGGGGGAAAGTGTTTAAGCCAATGCACAAAAATGTAAGAGTTTTTAGGTAATGTTAGAGTTCTCAGATAATGGTAAAAAAAGAAAATTTACATTTTCTAGCTCTGTTATCTTCTAATCTTCTGTTTTAATAGCATAGAATCTGCTGAATTTTTTAGAGCACAAATTTGAATCCATTGTTCCATGAAGAATCTAATTAAAAACATTCCAGAGTTACTAAAAGGGAGAGTGTAATGGCTAAGATATATTTCCATGATGGGGCTAAAATCCACTATAATTAAGAGACTTCCAAAAGCCAATCATTAGGAGAAAATGCAATATTTTGATTCTAAAAGAAAAAAAAATATTTTGAAAAATGAATAGTGGAGGAAATCGTATACATTGCATACTCTAATGAAGATTTTTTCCATGTAAATGTGACCAAAACCTTTATCTTCTCAGGATTCATTTGGTCAAATCCAGAATATGTTACCACTTTGAGTATATATGTGTGTACACAAATACTTATATAAATCCACACACATACACACATATGTATGACTGTTACCACTTCTTCAACATTAGAAGGAAATTTTAGTTACATGTCAGTGAGATGAGAATATGAGTTTTACTAACTACTATAATAAAAACATAATCAGTGCATTTAGCCAGTCCCAGAGCTTTTTTTCCTCCCTTATCTCAGCCCTACATTGTTTTGTCTTGCTGTCTAATTATTCCTATTGTATGATACAGGTATTTTCAAAGTTGTTGTTTCTAAAAAATAACAGCAAATGATACATATCACTTAATGGCTGTATTTCAAAGATTAGAAAAAAAAGAGAAATCATGGGATTTCCCTTTATTGTATATTGGGGACTCTTAGAATGTGACAATTATGTACAGGTTTAACTTTTAACCCAACTAATTTCAACTCTCTCACTTGTGGATTGATGGGCACAGTGACATATAAAATACTCTACAGTGGTTATCAGTGAGATCTTAGGTCAGTACAGTACATAACACATAGCATGGTTGGGCAATTTAAAATATCTCCAATTTGTTCTGAAAACATTTGTAAGATATTAAAAAATACTAGTACATTTTAAAGTATATTTATAGCTCACCAGCATTCAATTTCTACCCATTATTCTTAATACTTTTTAGACAAGTTATTTTGGCAAACTGCACAAAATAACATTACACACTAAATCTTAAATAGCCCTCCTTAAGACACCTTTATATGTTTTCTACATATGTATACGTAAACTTTAAAAAAATGTGTCCTTTAGTGATTAAAAGTGTGAGCTTTGGATTTAGGTAGACTTGGATTAAATTTTGGCTCTGCCTCTGATTAGCTCTGTGGACCTTACAAAAGCTATGGGCTGGGGATTTAGCTTAGTGGTTCCGCCACCTGCCTCGCAAGTGCAAGGACTGGAGTTTGTTCCCAGGTACCGCCCCCCACTAAAAAAGCTATTTTTCTTTTTTGTGTCATGGATTCCCTTTCTGCAAAATGGAGAAAAATGGAACATAGTGTTTTGATTAAAACTATATAAGATATAAAGAAAATGTTTTTATGCACAAAAAACTAAAAGAATAAAATATGAGCATATACATATGTATGTAATATGATTATATCTATTTATATAATACGTAGCATTATATAATAAAATTATATAATATTATCACCCATATATGCACATTTATAAAACAGTCATCTGTTATGATTTGATTTTTAGTATGAAATGATATATATTGTTTCAAATAATGTTTTAAAGTAACTAACAGTACAGTTTTGCACATAACTAAGTAAATGTATATTAAACCAATACATACATACATTATTAACATAGAGGCTGAAAAATATATATCAGGTTGAATTTTCTGTGATCATGATTAAAAAATAGCACTTTCTCTAATTTAGAGACTGACTTAGAAACTCAAAAAAGTTTTTACAATACTCAGTTAAATATGAATTTAGATTGATTGTCTTTGTAATGTACAGCCCAGATGCTGATTATACATGGCAATAAAACTGACAGTTCTTTGCATTTTCTCCATATGCTTTTAACATAAATGGCAAAAACAGCTGTCAGAGAATAGAACATGGATTTAATGGGCTGAGGGGAGGGTAGGCAAAATGACTCTCTGGCTTCTGAATCTTAAACGGCTCAGGATAGCAAATAT